AAAGGGATTTTACGAAATAATAGCTGCATAATTCAACCAATGCAAGACTTAAATTTCATGGGTATAATTTTTACAGAGATAAGCTTTATTTAGTATTTTGTCAGAAATATCAGTAAGTTGGAGTAACTAATTATTTAACTTGCTTCTTGTAAAATTGTTTTTTTAACTTAATTAATTTTTATTATTTCATTATTTTTAATGATGACACATTTGCCAGGGTAAAGATTCCGTTGGTCTTTTTTACCTCAATTATGTGTGAACTTTTATAGAATTTATATAAAAAAAAACTGTTGAATCTAACTTAAAAACTAGTGGGGTGTATGGCATCGTGCCTTAAGGCAAATTGCTGGAACTTCCCGTACCGTAACGAAATGTTCGAGAAATATTAAATGTTTTCAAATAGATTAATGTAAATACTGTAACATTTGTCTAATATTTATTTATAAGAATTATATAAACTGAATTACAAAGTTAAAGTTATTTATTTAAAATATATTACAACTTTAGTCAAAATTAAAAATAAAATCTGAATAATTTCAAATAAAATTGAAAAAAAAGTTTTGAAATGTAATTTTTTCTACAAAATCAATTATTTTGTTAAAACAAGCAGAAAGTTCTTTGAATCATTTAAACTGCCAGTTTTTGCACATTTAGCTCTGTATCTTCGAAATGGCTGGGCCCGCCTTTGCCAAAAACTAATAACCACTTCTCCCAATTATTACTAATTGAATGTTTTTTAGATCATTCAAATCGAATGCTCCGTTCTCCCAAAAACTCGATTTCTATTTTATACTACTGGACCTGCCTTTGCCAGAGACTAATCAGCACATATCCCTATCAATATTAATCGAATGTTTTTGAACCATTCAAATGGGTTGGTTTTTGCGCCCGAAAACGTGACCGAAAAATTGTATCCATACATACACACACACATCTATTTTTTCTGAGGTATGCCAAAATGTTCAGATACCTTCAAAACGTCGAGAAATGTAAAAAATTTCAATTTCGATTTTTGAACGATTACAATAACTTACAATAACTTACCTTACGGGAAGTTAAAAGTATCAATACATTTTCAGACTTAAGACTTATATTAAGATCTTGTAAACTAAACAACAGTGCTCACAACCGAAAAAACAACAAAAAAAATCGTTTGTTATACATTTTTAAATATTACCGGTTATTTTCTGATAGCGACATCGTAAGATTCAAGGGATGGCTGATTATAAATCTTTTACTCTCTACTTTCCAATATTGTTGTTAAAATACTCTTAACTTTGCAGCTTCGAAATATGTGTACGACAACAGCAACAAAAATTGATAATCGATCGAAATTACTAAAGGCTAACGTTATTATTTGAATCTCATACAAATTATATGTGTTTAGGATCTCATATACAAAAAATACCATTAATCTCAATGTAACAAATTCCGAGTGAAAGCAAACATTATTTAATCCTCTCTTATATCCTTCTCATATCCTTTTTTCTCATCAATCAATCCTGGCAACATATAAATATTTACAAAGTATCGCCCGCTTAGCTCCGCATTTCACATTCGTGTAATCACGTCGAATCCGGCTGCCGCCGCCGTTGCCGCCGTTGCCGCGGCGTCTTATTCCGTATGCCGCGCGCAGCCGGTCGCCCACGTAGCTTTCAATTTCTATAGAGCGTAATTTTCAATGAACGAGTTTGCTATTCCTGAATCCGAAGAGAAAATGTTTTGGTATGCTCGGAAAGTTCAATTACCCGAGAAAAGTTTCATATTAAAATAATTTTGTTGCACGAGATAGTATAGTATGATAGACTGTAGTAATGTAAATTGCAAGTTAACAGATGGTAATGTTGAAATAATAAATTATCAATTGATACAGTTCTTGTCTGATATTATGTAGGGTAGATTGGGGCTAAGAGATCCATCACAAAAATCAGTAAAGTTAAAGTTTTTTAACAATAATAATTTAAAGTAGAGGAAAAATGTATAAACAGCCGTCATCTTGATTCTTACGACGTTTCTATCAGAATAAAAACTGCAATGTTTGAAAATCCTTTACAAACATATTTTCTTTCGTTGTTATTTGTTTTGGTTGTGAGCACTGTTGCTTAGTCTACGATACCTTAATATAATTGTTAAATATACGTTATTTAAGGGGGTATTCTAGTGTAGAAATTCAAAAAAATCGATTTTTTTTTATTTCATATATTCAAAGCTTAACTAAGAATCTAAGAATATGAGTACGAGAAGGTTTTTGAAAATTTGAATTATTTTCGGAGATATAGGCATTTTACTGACTCGGTCTCCACAATGGTTTGGCTTCACGCAAAACTTTAAATGCGTTTTTCTCAGAACAGATTTTTTCAGTACTGTTGACACGATTTCTCAAGTTTCAATCGACCGATTCATTTGAAATGTTCAGAGAGTCTTGTTTATAGACCTATCTATAGCCCGAACTAGGGCTATCTATTATCCCCAAATTTAAATTTATACTATTTTCAAAAAAATCGAGAAACACAAAAAATCATCATTGTAGATTTTAATCTTTTTAGTTTTTGCATTTCCGATGGCTGGGAGGGCTGAAATCATGTCAAGACTGAGGTGCCAAATTTTTGAGACCACCCACTTCATCAGCTGCCAGTTTTTACAATTTTCAACTTTTTTATTTTTTAACTTCCCGTAGGGCAAGTTATAGTAATCGCAAAAAAATCGAAAATGAAAATTTTTATATATCTTTACGTTTCAGAGGTTTCTGAACATTTTGGCATACCTTAGAAAAAATGGATGTATGTGTGTGTGTGTGTGTGTGTGTGTGTATGTGTGTGTATGTATGTATGTGTGTGTATGTATGTGCGGATACAAATTTTCGTCGACGATTTCGGGAACACGGATCAACCGATTTGAATAATTCAAAAAACATTCGATCCGTATTGATAAGGAGACGTGCTGATTAGTTTTTGGCAAAGGCAGGTCAAGCCGTTCCGAAGATACGGGGCAAAAAGTTCCGAAAACGGTAACTCAGTTTTTAAGAGAACGGAGCGTCCGATTTTAATAATTCAAAAAACATTTTATTTGTATTGACAAGATGAAAAATCGATACAACTTTCATGAAGGTAGGTCCAGCGGTTTCGGAGATATAGAGGAAAAAGTAAAAAAATGAGCCATTTGGCGGTCAAAAATGATCATTAGACATATGCACATCAAATTATCAGACATTTTATAGAGATTTTAACAATAAGTATACATTTTGTTAACATTCCTATCGGTTCCGTACCAATGCTCATGCGTTAGACAGCGACGCGGCGCTTACGCGCTTTATATTTTGTCCCTATGTAGTTAAAGCACTACGATTGCTTTGAAAAAAAAGTTCAGATCTTCCACAATATGTCAAAATAAAGAAAAAAAAATTTTTTTTCAAAAAAAAAAAAAATTTTTTTAAGAAAATTTTTTTTTCAAAAAATTTTTTTTTTTCAAAAAAAACTAATTTTTTGTCCAATTTATAGTTTCTCAAAAATCTTATTTTTTCAAAGTAATTTTTTTTCAAAAATGATAATCGTTTTAAAAAAAAATAATAATTTTTGGTACGGGAAGTTCCAGCAATTTGCCCTAATGGCACGATGCCCTAATTGCCTTAAGACAGAATTCCACTTACAGCTAGTTTATTTTTATTTTGCATTTTAATAGTATTAATAAACAAGTGGTAAAAAATGGATAGTAAAAATATTCATTGCTTTCTTTTACGACACTTTAAAAATGACCTAAAATTTATTGCCTTACACTAGAATGCCCCCTTAATTGTTTTATATCATCTATTGTTAATTTTAATTTAGATGGGGTAAAAAGGAGCAACTGAACTTTTATCCTGACAAAGGTGTAAAAATGAAAAGTTAGCAAATATTAAAGTAGAATATGTTACAAAAAGCAATTTTACAAGAATTAAATCAAATAAATAGTTTTTCTAACTCTGCTGATGGATATTTCTGACAAAATACCGGATCAGGGTTATTTACAGTATTATCTCCGTAAAAAATGCACCAATGAAATTTATATTTTGAATTGGATGAATAATGTAGCTATTGCTTCGTAAAATTCCTTTAAAATGAAAATAATACATTGGACCAGCTTGCTCCCTGGTCGTCCCAATTTACCCCGCCCATAAGGTAAAAAAGACCAGGTTATAAATTTTTGAAAGACAGCAAAAAAGATACATTTACAATGATGAATTAGATGGGAGTTTTACTGAACGTAGTCAGATAGTTGTTTGTTATGTGGTGATTGGTTTGGTTTTTACAATATAATTGCTCAAATTCAAATTCGACTTTTTGTTGAGTTTTACTGAACGTAGTCAGATAGTTGTTTGCTTCGTAAAATTCCTTTAAAATGAAAATAATACATTGGACCAGCTTGCTCCCTGGTCGTCCCAATTTACCCCGCCCATAAGGTAAAAAAGACCAGGTTATAAATTTTTGAAAGACAGCAAAAAAGATACATTTACAATGATGAATTAGATGGGAGTTTTACTGAACGTAGTCAGATAGTTGTTTGTTATGTGGTGATTGGTTTGGTTTTTACAATATAATTGCTCAAATTCAAATTCGACCTTTTGTTGAGTTTTACTGAACGTAGTCAGATAGTTGTTTGTTTGTTATGTGGTATTTGTTGTGATATAATTGGTTTGGTTTTCACAATATAATTGCACAAATTAAAATTCTACCTTTGTCAAATTTCCTTATCGCCCTACACTATTATTTACAATATACTTCCATATGCGATACTTGTTCTGATAAGATTTTTACATTAAATTATTTATCTGAAATATGATATCAAATACAGATTACCATTACCACCATCACCAAAATAAAATGACAAGAATATTGGAAATAGACAAAATAATGTATCTATTTTATGTTAAGAAAATTACCCTCCAACAGCCCTTAATTTTATCTCAATGATTTCTTTATCCACTCTAATAAACGTATTTTCTGACGATGATTTCCGTAACGTAGGTTCGTGATCGGCCAATACGTGACGGTGCACGGTGACGTCATTAGTCACGTGAATATTAGCCACGTCATGGTCGAGGACGGTGGAGAATATAGTTGTGCAGCCGAAAACAGGGCTGGTAAAACATCGCATGCTGCGAGGCTCAATGTTTACGGTAAGAGTAGAAAATAACATAGGAAAACATAATTTCATTTCATTAATATTATATTGTTTTTGATATATTTTAGCTCGGATAAGAACGCTCTCTTATATTATCAACGTAAGATAATAGAGTATAAAGTGAAGAACTCACAATTCTGTGTTCTTTAAATTCTTTTTTACAGTACAGATTACAAAATTGAAAAAAATCTTGCATTGTGACAAAGCTACTAATTTTAAAATCAAATTATTTACAACAAATTACACTATTTCAACAACAAATAATTTAACACGTTCACGGACAGTGGAAGTTTCAGTAAGGTACAAAGATTGACAGTCATTTTTTTTTTAAATTGTTGTAGGTATGGTTGTAGTATCTGTAATTTCAAAAAATACCATATATAAAAGTAGTCAGATTATCATATTTCTAATCGTTATATACCATGAATGCTATCCACGCCAAGAATTATGCTTCTGTTTTACGCAAAGTGCCTAAGCTAATTTAAGACCACGGGAGAAGATGTGGTAATACAAAAATACTTAAAGAATCATGTAGTTATTATTTTGACAGGTATAATTATTACATAAATGTAAGTTTATATATAATTAAATTTAAAATAATTGACTTCATAATTTTAATGCTATAGCATTGAGGTCATTCTGCATCACAATGAAAATGAATGCTATGACATTCACGTCCGCAAACGTGTTAAAAAAAGGGTTAATACACAAACAATGGACGGTTGAAAATAGAACGTTTCATTTATCAGTTGATATTTTTAATAAAATAATTATAAAAATTTAATTGTAATTAAGCTACTTAAAATTATGATAAAAAATCATTTTTACTGTTCACTACAAATGCAGAACAAAAAACGTGCATAACGGTCTTATTTATAAGATAGAGTTGTTTGAGAAATTTTGATAAGTTTAACTATATTTGAAATTTAAACATTTACTTTATATTAGCAACCTCAATTTTTTATTTATTTATTTATCCACGATTAAAATATTTTATTTTGTAAATTACATGAACAAATACTATCAGTTGAGCTTTTAATAATTTTGTCATAGCAATGTATTAATCAAAAGTATTTCATAAAATGTGTTTCCAAAATGCATTAGATAGAGCAAAAGTCATCTAATAGACACCAGAGCTTCTGATGAATCAAAATTCTCGAAATTTACTCTGACTGAGAGTTTTCCATTGTCAGTAACCGCTCTTTGTCAGTCTGAGTTTTGCGAATCATGTTAAATTAAAAAAGTTTTCTCTCCGAACTCGATTTTAAATGCGCGCTTCTCGAAATTTCTTTGTATACCTTTTAATCACTTTCTAAAGGTGTTTATTGGATATCTCGCCCGAAAGGGACCCAAGTATATTATATTACAACACCTTTCGGTATTTTATTAAAATGTAATCACAAACTCGTAATAAAATGCGTTGAGAGTGTTGGTGAAGTAATTTCGATTCTTGGATGTAATTATTAATAATAGAGTTAATAATACTAAAAAATATATTTATATATTCAATTATGGTAAATTGATATTATTGCAGCTTATTCTTCAATTATTTAATATCAAGTTCTTATTTTCTCTCCTCAGGTGCGCCTTACATCCGACTAATTCCCAAAGTGACCGCAGTAGCAGGTGAAGGAATGCAACTAAAATGCCCTGTGGCAGGGTATCCCATAGAGGAAATTCACTGGGAACGGAGTACGAAACATTAAACAAATTGTTTCATAAATATTTTATAAATTTTCAAGTAATTTATTATTTCTTGACGTGTAACTTTTTAAAGGCGGTCGTGAGTTACCCGAAGATATTAGACAACGTGTCCAGCCGGATGGAAGTTTGGTAGTCAGTCCAGTTCAAAAAAATGCAGACTCCGGAGTTTATACATGTTGGGCCAGGAATAAACAAGGACATAGTGCTAGGAGAAGTGGAGAAGTTACTGTTATAGGTAATATCATGATATCTACAATTGTACAAGAAATTGATTTCCAAATACTTGTCTCAGTTATGACAAACTAATTCATGTTAGATTTTTAATATGATTTCAAAAAAAAGTAATTGACAATTACAATTTGACCAAAATTATAGCTGTTTTTCTGCCGAAATATGTTTTCAGTGCCTCCCAAACTTAGCCCGTTCCATAGCGCCGAAGTTTCCCTTAACGTTGGCGAACGCGCCAGCTTAACCTGCACAGTCGTTAAAGGCGACCTCCCTTTGGTCACCACTTGGAGCAAAGACGGAAGACAACTGGATGCATCTCAAAATCAAGTAAATTCCAATGCCGACGGCGGCCAATCTGTAACCCAAGTCGATCAGTTCAACAGCATCTTAGTTATCGACAGTTTGACACCCCAACATAGTGGAAATTATACTTGCACCGTCAGAAATTCGGCAGCTGAGGCTTCTCGATGGCAACGTGTTTTGGTTAATGGTAAATGACTGATGGTGGAGGATGATATGTACAAAGCTCGACTGAACCAAAGAATTCAGATCATAACGCACGTTGGAATCGAAATAATGAATGCATCCAAGTAGTTGACATAAAAAGCATCCATCGACATCTATATATATTTGATGTTTTCTCTGTTTTGTGATTTTATCTAATTTTTATATTTATTATATATATACAATGTTAACATGTTTGGATGAGTGTTAAGGTGATAAAAATAATAGAAAATAAAATTTAAATAAACACACTCGAAATTTCAAGATTATGGAACCGGTCGGCGTTTCAATTTTACAATCAGATAAAAATTTTATAAGATTTTATACTTTTAAATCTTAAATCTATAGTATCCATTATATTCTGTACTATCCATTTTTTAATTAGTGTTACTGAATAATAATATCCTACCAAAACACTAGGAAAGGCTAAGTACGGTTGTGCCAGGGTATGATACTGACAGTCGCCTGAAATATTTAGATTTTCAGTATTTGCACTTAGGCAGATTATCATATTGAATTTGCTATTGAACTTACTTTTCTTCCAGCTAATTGGTAAATAAACAAAATTATTGCTGAACAAAAAAGTGGCACAGCCGTACTATTAGAGTTATGACAAATCACCGTTAATTCATATTAGTTTTGACTATTATTATTTTTGCAGGTTCATAGCTTGGAACCAACAGATTTTTATCCTTTTGTCTTTTTTGTGTACACTTGGTTTTTCTACATCAATAATTTTCAAACATGTTGTCATTTTCCACAATTGCAAATTTGAAGTTTTTACATTCTCCCAGAAGGTTTTGTCAGAATGTTAAATTTTGAAATTTATGAACCGATTCTTCCGCATAACCAATTCTGGCAAGGCTATGTTATGAAGAACTTTCCATACTAAATATTGACAAAGTCATGTAGTTGCTGTGTAGTCAGTCGTTTTTTCCAGGTTGTCAGATAGAACACTTAATCTAGAAGCCGTACAAATGTCAAAAAATGATCTTAGATAACACGTTCTTTCTGACACAGCTTTATAGCATACGAGTGGCGTTGTAGGTTTTGTGTAAAACGCCTGAATGCATAGCAAATACATAATATTTTGACAGTATTCAGTATGATTTAGTAGCATAATGTATGGTAGTTGAAGAATAACATGGCCTTGCATAACATCTGTTGTGCGGCAGAATCGATCGCCTAATTTGCAATGTATACTATCTTATCATTTCACAACTCTTCAGTCCGGTACATTTTCACCCCTTCAACCTTACTTGTTTATACTTGGTTTGTCAATATTTTTAATATATAAAAACTTATTTCTCTTTTTTTTATCTTTTTCCCCGATTGTAAATTTGAAATTTTTTATTCTGCCAGAAGCCATATATCAGATTTTTGTTAAAATGTTAAATGTTGAAATGTATTTTGTAATGTATATATCTTATCACCTTATAACTCAAATTCCAAACAGAACCTAGTGTATTACTCTTTCATCTTTACGTTTTCACTTCTTTCTTGCCTTAGTTTTGATTAATTCTTCCTCAGCTCCAGCAATGATGTAAATATAATCTCCAAAAGCTCCAAATCTATGGTCCAATGTTAAGTGTTCAAGGTGTTTGACGTACGTATTGTCTCTTTTTCTGTCTATAGTTCCTCCCATTATCGAGCCCTTTTCCTTCCAAGAAGGCCTCGCCGAATCGATGCGGACGAGAACCGTCTGCGGTGTCTCCGGCGGCGACCAGCCTCTCACCATAAGGTGGCTGAAGGATGGACAACCTCTATCTTCGGAAAGATTTAAAGCAAATGTCACATCGCTGGATTCGTATTCTTCCCTTCTAAGTATAGCTTCGCTCACAGCTGATCACAGTGGACTTTATACTTGCGTCGCTAGCAATCCGGCCGCTGAAGTGCGACTGTCGGCCAGGTTGCAAGTCAAAGGTATCAAAGGAAGGCGAATCGTCGAATGCAAAACCAAAACTACTGCTTTTTCACGGGTGACTGGTAATTGTTTTGCAGAAGTCTTGGAACAAGTCGATAATTGAAAAAAACTTGCCAACATTTTGCGCATTCGAGTAGTACCCAGAAATGTATATACCAATAGAGTCATGGAAGCAATGTCAGGCAGACAAAGTGAAAATTAATATCGGAAATATTTGCAGTCCTTCTGCAGACCAATTTATATATTATATAACATACTGATAAAATTGTTACAAAAACATGTGTACAGTGGCACTCCGTTATTCGTTTTTTAACCATGCTCGTATATCGAATTGCTCGTATCTCGATGCAATTTTTTCTATATAAATAGATTGAAATACCATTATTTCGTTCCAGTACTGAAGTTTTTGTTAAGTTTTTTGGATATTAATAATAAATTTACTATTCATTAATTCAATTATTCTCTTTACCCGACCATTCATGATATTGCGCAAATGAGTAAGACAAGTTTCGTTGAACAACTTGAATGCTCAAACTGTTGCAGCTTTTTTGGGGTGATTTTAAGGTTTTTATATAAAATTATACCCTTCATCAACTCTCTTTCTGTTCAAACACAACACATATCTATGATATGTTACCTTCGTATATCCTAACCGTCCTCGATCTTTTCAATAATTTCTTGATTTAATTCAAAGGACATGGTCCCTTTCTTTAGAACCATGGTTATAAAAAGTATTATGAGTACTAACAATTACGAATAAATTTTAGATGTTGCTGAATTATTGATATACTTCTAGTTAACTAACTTTTTTGAGAAAAAAAACACTTATATAAAGTCTTGAAATTGGTCACATGCATAGTCTTACAATAAATAAAGAAGATGAGTTGATGAATTTTGCTAGAGAATTAGCAAAACAATCGTGTTAAATTTTTACATTTTAAAATTTGAGTAGGTTTAAAAAAGTATGTTTTATTAACTCTGCATAAAGATACCTTCGAGCTTGATGAAACAGAAATTGGTACTCTTCTAGTTCTTTACCTTCTCCTGATATTGTACATATCATAGATCCTATAGTTGACCTATAAGATCTTTTATTTAAAATTTTTCATCACTGCTTAAATCAATAATTCTTATTGCTATCATATATTTAAATATAGTATTCGATTATTCGACTTGTGCCAAATATGTTCAGAAATATTTACCAGTCTTAGGGAAATAAATTTTATTGTCGAGCTCGAATTTACTTCAATATGATATAAATTAAATAAAATTAAAAAAAATAAAATTATTTTTTTAATATTTATGATAATATGAAAGTTTTATAGTAAATATCTTGTATTTAAATAATATTTTATTTAAAAAGGTTTTCAATAATAATTTAAAATTAATTGTTGATTTAAATAAAAAATATACTTTATTATTTTATAAAAATTCATGAAGTAATTTCGTGCATCGCGCAAAATAACAATTGACCAGAACAGGATTAATAGGGCTAGGATTATCTAACACCTAATCAATTTTCTTCTAGGAACCAATAAATCAAAAAATCTCCAGTTTAGGATATATAATTTTTATTTTGTAGGTTTCGTTTTATAAATCCATCCACATTATTATTTCTTATAATTAATAAAATTGTATATTTATTTTAAAAAGACTTTGTTATTATACACAGAACAAATACACCAGTTTTTTGTACTTTTTCTTTGCAAATTTATTGTGTTGTAAAAAAATTGTCACAAAAATACTTTAGGACCGCCTCTATGCCTTCTAGTAATCGATGTATGCACATAAGATCAAATTTTAATTAATTAATCAAAAGTAAGATTTACCAATAAATGTAGTGAAAATCTTATGGATACATCTTTAAGTAAGCTCGTTTCATAAAAATTATGTAATTGTATATGAAAAGAGCAATTAGGCTTAAAAATCAAATAAAACCCTCTCCCAAATTTTCCTAAACAGGCTTTCGCACGCCGTTGGAATGTTTGATGATTCAAAAAATATATTTAATTCGCCTTATCACTGTTTTTACTTTAATTGTCTCAAAGTTGACCTGCAAGGAAATAAGGTTTTAATAGAATAATAACTTTTTTATACTTATGACCCTTAATTCCATGTAGGACAATTGTTTTATCCCTGGCAAAACCTGAACACGGAAGAAAAAGTGAAAACTTTAATAAATATTATAATTATTACTATTTAGTCTGTCAATTACCTGAAACACATCTTGTCATGTGAATAAAGGTAAAAATTTGCACCAAACTCTATTTTTTTTTGAAGAAATCAATTCTATTTTTATATATTTTCCTTGTATCTATTTTTATCTGATCTGGATTATAAATACATGTATTTTTAATAATTCTTCATGTATGAAATGTTTTTTCTTTTCTTCTTGTGCATGATGACTTGTTTTAGCACGCTTCTTCATGTTTTTTTTATAATTGTGAATCATAGAATAAAAATGAATTTTGAGAATTGGCAATATGATTAGATTTTTTTTAAATAATTTTACTAAACAAAATTAGTTGAAATTTTAAATATTTTTTAAAATTAATTTTTATACTTATTAAATTTTCTATCTTAGATTTTGAATATAAATTATTTTTGTGCATGCATAATTTTTCTTCCAAATTATTAGCTGTAGCTTTTTTTGAAAAGAATATCGGTGTTGTGTCATGTCTTGCAACTTTCCTAATTGCAATTTTTATTATCACTTTATTCTTTTAATTTTGATATTTTTGTTGTTTTAATTTATTTAATATTTGCTTTTGTTTTGTTTTTTAAGTAAGAACACTTAAAATAGCACATAAACCAGCTTTTTTTCACAGATAACATGCGGCTGCTAACAAATTTAGACATTGATCATCCTTCGTCCTTTTTGGTTGAAAACAAAAAGTTTGAGTTTTTAGAGCTTTTTGTTAAATTTATCATTTTGTTTTTGTTCTTAGAATTTTTATTTAGTTTTTTTTAATAGTAATGTTATTTGTCTAACGAGAGGTTATAGCATATTTAGAGCGACATGATTATAAAGATACTAATGTTAAAAGAATAAAATTTATCTGCCAAAAAAAACTAAAGTTTGGGAAGAAATGTACGAATCTTTAAATTAAATATTATTTAAATTGCTTTTTTGAAGCTAATTCTTCGGTAAAATAAACAATAACATAGCGTTGGCATAACAACTTACACAACATCTTATCCTGCTGCTAAAAACTGTTCTGAAAATGCTGTGTATTTGCTATTAAATTTTATTGGATTTAATTTTTAGTCATTATTATAGATATAATAAACATTTTTCTCGATCATCCTGTTTTTATGCAATATATTCCAAATTCTGAAATGCTGTAATTTTATATTTATCAAATTATTGAACTAGAAAATAAAATTAAATTCAGGAAAAAAAACATCCAAGAACTTTTTTCATCTTGATAACTGTATTTGAAAGAATTACTCAATAAATAACATCTTACATTGAAATAAATTAAATTATATAATTTTATCAAAATTAAAAAAATTAAAATCAATGTGCTATAACTTCTACAACAAAGTGATGTTTCTCATTGTCCAAATATTTTTTGTAGTTAGACCCATGTTACGCCTCTATCTGTGTTTGTCATATCCAAAACACTGATTTAATTTTAATTTTACATTTATACATAATTATTCACACACAACAACAAATAATCAAAAATATTTACTCATATTTATATTAAATAATGAGACATAGCCGCGTCGATTTTACACCCATATATTTCTTTCAATAATTTTTTTAAATTTATTTTTCGATTTTTACTGTTTACTATTTTTTCTACTATGAAACCCTGTAAATATAGAGATAAGGCTGTACATATTAATTAAGAATTTTGTAAATAGTAAATTGTAAATAATATTAGTGTATAAATGAATTTTGTAGCAGTGGCAGAGGGCTTGAGGGGAATATATATTGTAACAGAAAAAATATTTTAAATTTTAAACATTTGTGCTTATATAAATTTCTATAACGTTGAAAATGCGACAAATCTAAAATGGTTTGTTTATTACAAAATATAAATATTTCAAGAATTTTACCCATTTTTGCTCAAAGTAAAATAATAAATAATACTGAAGGAAGGACATCAACATCATTTTAAGCTAGTATTTTCTAATAGATAATTTGATATAATTGTGAATGTTCAAGAATCAAGATATTTAATTATACATTTAGATATTACACAGGTCGACTCAAAAAAATTAAATATTAGTTGATCAATAATGGTCTATTAACTATTTTAATAAATTGGAAAAAAATCCATTGGAACAAACGATATTTATATTTGTATTTCTAAGTTTAATAGCCTTCTGCCTATGCTAAATTTTTAAGAAACTATTTAATGTTGACATTATTTTTATTAATCAAATAATTAGTTCCACCAAGATGGGTTGTTGAACCAGCTGATATAAGTGTTGAAAGAAATCGTCATGTTTCTTTTACATTGTCAAGCTCAAGGTGTTCCTGTACCAACTGTTGTATGGAAAAAAGCTATTGGTAATGATAAATAAATAGTTAAAATATTTATTTACGATAAATTCTGTATACATCCTTCATTGTCAATGGTTGCAATCTATTTTGAACATGTTGATCCTTTTTGTATAAATAAAATTAACTTAGGAATTTATTATCCATTTATATTAAGTGCAGATATCAATTCACCAATTTTAATGTATATTATTCTAAATTAGGTGGTAAATCTGGAGATTACGAAGAAGTACGAGAAAGACCGTACACAAAACTTTTACCAAATGGCACATTGCTTTTACAACATGTCAAAGAAGATCGAGAAGGCTACTACCTCTGCCAAGCCAATAATGGTATTGGTACTGGTATAGGAAAAGTAATACAATTAAAAGTCAATTGTAAGTTTATTCTTCTTCCAATCATCTAAATTTCATATTTGAATTTTATTAAAATATTGCAATTTTAGCATCTCCATATTTTTCTGCGCCTTCTCGTCTGGTAACTGTCAAAAAAGGTGACAAGGCTGTATTGTTCTGTGATGTTAGTGGTGACAAACCTATAAATGTTATTTGGCTTCGTGGCGGAAAACAAGAGATGAATCCATCTACAAATTATAGGTAACTCAACTTTTCAAATTAAAATATAAAGATTTTTGTACAGATTTATTAGTTATATCTTATTTTATCAGGGTTGCTGTCAAACAAGATGCGACACCTGATGGAGTCCGTGCTGAAATTATGATTTCAGCAACCGAAGCTAAAGATAGTGGTGCCTATTTTTGTCAAGCTTCTAATCAATATGGAAGGGACCAGCAAATGGTGCAGCTCTTGATTCAGGAGCCACCAAAAGCACCAGAAGCTTTGGAGGCCGCCATGGTGTCTTCTAGATCTGTTAATATTAAATGGATCAGACGCTCCAGTGGTACTGCTGATTCTTCGGATGTTGCAAAGTATATTGTACAATATAGAGAAGGCGATCGTAAGTAGTATTTGATAAATTTAATAAAATAAATTTTTATGTCACCAAGTTGCATCTCCACGATATTTTTTTTACAGGTTCTTGGCAGCAAGTAGAATTAACAGGAATGCACCAACCTGGTGTAACATCTCCACAACCACCAACAAGTGCTTTAATTGAAGATTTGAAACCAGCAACTAGATATTCATTTCGGGTAATTGCCGAAGGACCAGCAGGTAAAAATTAAGAAATCATTAAAAAACATAATAAAACATGGTTTAATTACTCTTTGTTGTTGTCTTGAATTTTAGGAAGAAGTGCACCAAGTACCGAATTGTCAGTTCGTACTGAACCACAAAGACCAGCTGGTCCACCTCTTCAATTATCTGCCAGGCCTGTTTCTTCCACAGAAGTTTTAGTTACTTGGTCTCCACCTTTGGCAGAATTGCGACATGGAGAAATTCAGGGATACAACGTTGGTGAGAATATTTATATTATTAATAAGTCCATTTTTATTAGTAAAAATAAAACTAATAATTGGTAATACATAATTTAGGTTATAGATCAAACAGTGCAATTTCAGCGCACTACAATTTTAGTTCTGTATCTGGTGATGGTGAAGATGGTTCAGGAGAGTTATTACTAGGAGGTCTAGCTAAATTTTCTAGATATTCTGTTGTAGTTCAAGCATTTAACCAAATTGGACCAGGACCTCTTTCAGAACCAGCCTCTGTCCAAACAATGGAAGATGGTAAATACACCAACTGTTTATAAATAGATGTAATTTTAATAGATAAATTAACTATAAAATTTTGATTGAAATAATTTCAAATATTTTTTTATCATTTTAGTTCCATCAATGCCACCTGAAGATGTAAGATGTGCAGCTCTGACTTCTCAATCTTTGCAAGTGTCTTGGCAACCACCACCTCCTGAATATTGCAATGGTCTTTTGCAAGGGTATAAATTATTTTATGAACCAGTTGTTGAAGATCACATTCCTGGACGTAAGTAATATCTTCTTAATAGATATATTAATGTATTGGAAATGAATCATCGTTGATCATGCAAAATGAAATGTGCTCTTTTCTAGTGATGTAGTAAATGTGTGTTATATAAATTTATTTACATTAATCATCATCATTATTAAATCTTCAATAATAAAAAGATAGAAAAAGTCATAAATTAAAATATTACCTTGAATATTGTGAATTTTTACTCTTAGCAACATATTTCTTTTTGGTGCAAAAACTGTTTGAAACCAGAATGGTAAACTATTGATTTTTCTTGAATAATAGTATTTATTTATCATCAATAATAGACTGTGAATATGAAGACAAATTAAATATATTTAAAAATATTCCAAAGACTAAAAATAAATCCAGGGTTCTGTGTTAAACGTTCAACTTCGAAGACGACATCATTGCATGTTGCCCAGGAGCATATTTTTAACCAAATCTCTCTATAAATCTTTAATTATGTTTACATTTTTTTAAAACAGTCATTGTATTAAATTCCTTTACTTTATTTACACCTTGTTTAATTTCATTCGTATGAAATTATAACATTAGATTTATAGTTTATAAATGGAAAATTTGAAACAGTAGCAATACTTTTCATTGACGAAATTATTTAAATTCAATCAATCGCAATGTGTTTATTTTTATGAAATATTTCGATAATTTAATTTATAACAGCTTATGTTGCAATATTGCGAAAAGTATACTAAACGATTATTTTTAAATCGCATTCTTAAATTTGATTAGAAAATTTCAAACTGTCGATGAATTGGTAGGTTAATAAAAATATTTACAGTAAAATAATTGTATGCTTGAATATTAACTTAGAATTTATTACATGAATTATTTTGATAATATAACAATTAATAATTTTTACATAACAGTAAATGAATAAATATTATAATAATTCAAATAAAAATTATTTGGCTTGTCTATAAATATTTAAGAATACAACAATTAAAATGAGAATTGTACACTAAATAATTTTAAATTTTGAAAATATTAGTTGAGAATGATACTTATCAAATTTAGGTGTAAATCTACCGAGCCGTTTTCTTGTAATTAACTGTTGAAAAAAAAATTAAACCGATTTTTATGGAACTTTTTAGGCTATATATATCATGGTCTTATAGAACTTACTGAAATATTGCGGCCTTACGGCCCAAGTAGTTTAATTTAAATATTAATCAAAGTTTGAGAAAATGAGTAGTTTTTTGGCGTTTGTTAAAATTGGCATTAGACGATTTACTTGGTATAACGATAGAGTACTTGGTCTTAATGAGCATACTAAAACATTATAGGTCTACAGAAATTTAAATTACGGACAATTAAATTCCAAAATTATTGATTTTTGAACATTTGCTTTTAAAAAATACTCCGAATTAACGTGATCTTGAACGAATGAATTTAGATCTATTTTTTTGTGAAACAAAATTTTATCTGGGCTCAACTCAGCACAAGTGAAAGACAATATACTTGATATTGGAAATACAAGTTTTTTTACTAAATAATATTTATTTCATTATCTTTAGTTAATGACGATATGGAAACTAGAAAAACTACAGCTTTAACAACTGTTTTAACTGGACTACGTAGATACACCAACTACAGTATGCAAGTTTTAGCTTTTACCAGAATTGGCGACGGAGTACTGACACAAACTTCTCATTGTCGAACTGAAGAAGATGGTATTAAAATATATAAAATAGTTTTAACATATATTTTTTATTCGTGGTACCTATTAAAATTATTTTTTCGTTCTAGTACCTGAAGCACCAGCTGATATCAAAGTAGTAGTCAGTTCACCTCAGTCGTTGTTTGTTTCCTGGTTGCCTCCAGTAGAGCCTAATGGAATAATCACCAAATATATTTTATATATAAGGTAAATGTATTTTTGATACAATTTTAAATTTACTAGCTACATATTTTATCGCGTAAGATAAGGAATGTAACAGTATATACTGTATACATACTCAATCGGAATTTATAAACAGGAAAGTTATCCAAATCAGATGCCAAGGAATCGCTACTGATACATTCTTTAAAATGTTATGCAAAAATTACTGTAAAATTATATTTAGGCATTTAGCAGTTTATGTTATTCGTAATTTTATTGCAATTTTTTTTCAAACACACTGTTTTCGAGAATTTCCAGGAAAACTTTTTAACTTCCCATATGGTAAGTTATGATAATGGGCCAAAAATCAAAAATGAAATTTTTTGCATATCTTTACGTTTCAGAGGTTTCTGAGCATGTGTCATACCCCGGAGAAAATGGTGTATGTGTTTAGTGTGTCCGCAATTTTTGGTCCAGGTTTTTGGGAGCACGGATCAAACGATTTGAATGATTCAAAAAACATTCGATTCATATTGATAGGTAGATGTGCTGATTAGTTTTTAAGGAGATACGGAGCGAAAAGTGCAGAATATAGAAATTGAGTTTCTGAGAGAACGGAGTATCCGATTTGAATCATCCAAAAACATTCATTTTGTATTGATTAGGAGAATTGGTGATTAGTTTTTTGGCAAAAGCAGGTCCAGCCGTTTTGGTGATACCGAGCTAAATGTGCAAAAATTGGCAGTTTTTGAGAGAACTAAGCATCCGATTTGAATGATTCAAAAAACTTTCTCCTTGAGTTGACAAAACAATCACATTTGGATTTTTTCTTATTTCAAATTTTTTTTCATGTATATTGAAAACAATTCAGATTTTAATCTTGATTCTGGCTAAAGTTCTAAAGCCCACATATATACTTTAAATAAATAATTTTACATTTGTAATTCAGTTTATATAAATCTTATAAATATTAAACACTGTTACAGCATTTATAATAATCTAAAACATTTAATATTCTTCAAATATTTCGTTACGGTACGGGAAGTTCCAGCAATTTGCCTTAAGGCACGATGCCATGCACTACTAGTTATAAAATTACTTTTTAAGGTTATATAGCGTTTATGGCAATTCTTTGTCAATTATATCATTTTGATTATGATATTTCTTAACACTGTATGTTATGCTCTGTGTTTGTAATTTTTTATAAAAAATTTAAAAGCAAAAGAATGTTTTTTGTATTAGAATCTAGAATTCCTCAAACAAGACAGTGCCTAATAATTATAATTAAAATATTAATTTTGTATAAATTTTTATATAATTTTTTATTGTACAGGGCCGTGGAAGGACGAGAAGAACTTAACCATAATAAACGGAATCTAGCTTCTTCACAAACAACTTTTGAAGCCAAGGATTTACAGCAACATGCTGAATACCAATTTTGGGTCACAGCTTCAACAAGAGTCGGAGAGGGCAAAAGTTCCCGTGTTGTCTCTCAAATTTCTTCCAATAGAGGTAAACGATTGTAATTATACCTGGTGAACTAAAACTGCCATGTATCTTTTTTCCTCGGTTCAGTTTATTTTTAAAACTCGACAGTCATCATCGCAAACCATTGCCCGGCAAATATATGCACCTATGTATGTGACAGGTATATCTAAATATACCAATTTATTTTTTACATCACGCACACCCATGGTCTAGAAATTTGGCTAACGCCCATTACGGATTTTTATTAACCATAGAATCATTGGATAGTGAATAGTTGCCAATATCAATGAATAGATTACAATTGTACATACCGGCGGATGTTTTTACAAGGCTGTTTCATTATTTCTTCCGCCGTTGCGTGGAACTGGTTTTGTACAGTAGCAATTTTCAATGAAAACATGGATATAAACATAAACGCATTTTATGAGACAGGAAGTTTTTTGTATAATTTGTCAAGTCTATGTTTAAAATTATTAGTTTAATTTTGAAATCGATTGGCGGTCGGAAATATATGAAAGATAAATGCATGTGCAATGCATGATTAGTTTTTGCAACGATAAAGATTTAAAATATTTATGCATAGGTATGAAACGACAAGTTTGATATTGAAAACTGTATGCATATATTAACTACATTCCAATATCAATTTTTAGTAGTATATTCTTTTGTCCACAATGTAGATTGCCGAAAGACAGATTCTAAATTTTGAAATTAACTTCTTTAAAATGTCTAATACTTTGACATATAAACTGCCAGTTTATTATTCTTTTGTCATAGCTTCTGAATTAAGCAATATATTTGATATAGATACTTGAGAATTTATCTTCACCCATTTTTCAGTATCATTTTTCATCACTTCACAGTCTCTGTTTTTCCCCAGTGCCAGCTCGTATAACATCCTTTGGTGGGCCCATAGTTCGGCCCTGGCGCGGTTCTGTAACCTTGCAATGTAAGGCCGTTGGTGATCCAAGACGAGAATGGCTTCGGGGTGAAGTTCCACTCAGAGCAGGATCTCAACATAATGCACAACTTTTGGATACTGGAGAACTGCAACTAAATGCCTTGCAGAGGAGTGATAGTGCAAATTATACCTGCCAAGTAAAAATCAGAACTTCAGTTAAAATATTTTTTTAGTTTTTGGTAATTTTGATAAAAATTTCCAATAAAATTTCCAGGTCGACAATGGAGTTGGTACAGATCGTCTAACTTATCACCTCATCGTTCAAATACCTCCAGGACCACCAGTTTTATACGTAACATCTGCCACATCTAGTTCAATTCTTCTTCACTGGAAATCTGGAGATACTGGAGCAGCACCCCTGAGTGGATATACATTGCACTACAGACGTGCACATGGAAGTTTGGAAGAAATGGTCATGTCCAGACATGCTTCTAGTCACGAATTAAAGGTAAATATATAAATAATAAGTTTGCAAAAGCAAAGTAATAAATATATTTTTAATTTTTTATCAGGGACTTCAATGTGGCAGTACATATCATCTCTACTTAACAGCAAAAAATAAAATTGGCAGTTCGTCTGCTTCTCCTACATTACTGGTGAGGACTCAGGGACAGGCTCCAGGAACTCCTGCGTCTGGAGCTTTGCTTGCGCCAAATTCTACCTCAGTAGTTCTAAGATTACATGTTTGGCCTGATAATGGTTGTCCATTATTATATTTTGTGCTTCAATATCGAGCCGCAAATGATGCCGAATGGACTTTAGGTAACTACCAAATAACTAAGACTTACAGTTGCATGATAACTTGCGTGATTTTGTACATTTTAGTTTCAAATGCACTGAAACCACAAAGGAGATTTACTATATCAGGATTGCAGCCTGCATCTCTGTATAGATTAAGGATGGAAGCTCATAATATTGCTGGTCAATCACAAGCTGATTTCAGTTTCGTAACCTTGACCAAGGATGGAGGTAAACTATCTTGAATCCTAATGATTCACACTCATTGCTTTAAAAAATTTCATATATTTACTGTTTTTCGTATTATTTAAGAACCACCACCCCCAGAACTAGTTAAATTAGGTGGGTCTTCTGCTTCAATGGGTTATGCCGATTTCAGAGTCATCATACCGACAGCTGTTTCTGTAGTTGCTGTTTTTTTAGCTGCAGCAATGGCTTTCATATGCTGGAAAACTCGTAAGTAATAATTCAAAGTCCAAGAATCATTTGAGTAAAAGAAAGAAATAAAATGGTATTGCTTTTACAGGACAGGTTGATAGAGCTCGTAAAGAATCTTTAGAAAACCAGCAAAATGCCGAAGCGCAACGCGAACGATATTATGCGACAATTCACAAAGTTGCCTTGCAAGCTGGACAGGATAAAATACCAGGTGATAATTTGAATCATAAATTTCTTAGACTTATTTTTAAACTAAATGATTGAACATATTTTATGTTATTAAATTTTTAGAAACCTCGGATGACATCTCGCCCTATGCAACGTTCCAGTTGTCCGAAGCCAGCACCCTCGCTGCAGGTGGCCAATTGGCGTCGGCTGCTCCTGGGGGTAATAATTAGTTACAGCAATAGTTGTTAAGATACATAAAATACCCTTCCTGCTTTGAGTTAATATTTTTTACTTTTTCAAATTATAAACTACAGATGAGACTATAAAAATTAAACTGAATCAATACTTTTTTCTGAATAAAATGGAACTGGTGCATTTAAAAGCTGTTTGGGAAAAAGCTGACTGATTCTCAATGCAGAAGGTATTTTAAAATAAATACTATATATTTTACAGGTAATACACTGTTACATTCATTTATGTACCACGAAAGAGCTGGTACGGAAGGCTGTGCTAGTACTCCGCCACCTCAAAGGGAACCTCGGACGCCTTCAAGTTACGGAGCCGCCTCACCTTACAGAAAGGTAAAACAATCAAAAAATTTATCATTTTTTATAATATTATATATTAAAAATTATAAAAATAGTTTTTCAAGTACGATAATACTAAAGAAACGAATCTTGGTCGCCCAGCAAATGATCCTATTACTTCCGCATTGGGGCCGTTCAAGTATTACGTAAGCACTAAGGGGACGGGGATTTTTTCCTGATCTGTTATCTTTACCTATTTTTTTACCTTTACTTGGTCCTTTACCTTTACCTGGTTCTTCATCTTTACATAGTCCTTCACCTTTACTTGATCCTTTACTTTTTCTTTGTTCTTTACGTCTACCTGTTTTTTTTATTTTTACTTGATCCTTTACCTTTACCTGTTTCTTTATATTCACCTGATCTTTTACCTGGTCCTTTACATTTACCTGATTTTTTACCTATTGTCACGTTTACCTGGTCCTTTACCTTTACCTGGTTCTTTACCTTTACCATGTCCCTGACCTCTTGGTCTTCATCTTTACCTAGTCCTTCACATACTTGTTCTTTACTTTTTCTTGGTTCTTTACCTCTACCTGTTTTTTTTATTTTTACCTGATCCTTTACCTTTATCTGTTTCTTTACATTTACCTGATCTTTCACCTGTTGTCACGTTTACTTGGTCCTTTACCTTTACCTTGTTCTTTACTTTAACCTTCTCCTTTACCTGGTCTTTTACCTTGACCTGGACCTTTACTTGGGTTTTACTTTACCTGGTCTTTTGCATATACCTGATCTTTTATCTTTACCTGGTTCTTTACATTTACCTTTACCTTTACTTTAAAACGAGGACGAAAAAATTTTCACTTTTCTTAATTACGAAGAAACGCCTTGGTTGGTCACTTTTCAAAACTAATCAACATAATTCTTTATCGAGTACATTCAGTTGCTTTTTAATGTTTTAAAATCGGTTCTGTGGTTTTTAAAAAAAAGTCGACAAAATTTCGAAAAATCGGCTCACACACTCACACCTACTTCTTCCAAACGTGGTCTCAATTGATTCAGAATGTCTTAAAACTTCGAGGAAACATAAAATTAGCATATCGGATTTTTCTTCGAGAAGTTAATAAAACAAAAATTACCAACTATTATTTGATATTTGACAACATAACTATAAATTTGACATCACGTTTTGAAACAAAGGCCTAGACATCAATGTGAGCAGGCAATTAATATTCTAATAGAATATGATTGCTTCATGAATAACACAAATACTTTGGTATTTAGTTATTAGTGCCCAGCTTATTTTAAGACGCAGTAATAATTGAATGATTGTTCAAATACAAGATTCAAAATCTTTATTTGTTTATTTTAAATTTAAAATAACACTCGTACTTAATAATATGATATTTTTATATTTGCATAATATATACATAAATCTTACGAACTCAAACTGTCGAGCATGATTTTAAAAAAATAGGTATAGGCGTAGCTGAAATAAATTCTTGAAATTTGAATTCAATACTCTTCATTGTAAAAATAATAATGACATTATATATAACGCATATTTTTTCAAATATTTTATTTTGCGGTCTGTAACCGAAATAATTAGGCCAATTTATTTACTCATCCAAAACCATTGGGAGAATTTACACAACACATATGTACATATGTTTTATTTTGTGTGTGTAAGTCATTACATCAATTACACGGAAGTATATTGATCATATAGAATTGTACACTGTTATTTAAACAGATGACTTTATGTTATTCTCTGTCGGACCAGTTTACAATGAGGCAGACAGATTATACAAATAATAAAAGATCTAGTGTAATTCCTGTAAAGAATAATGAAATTTTGATAAATTGGTAATGAAATTAATAAACAATTCCATATCTCTGCAGAAAAATGAAAATTTTTATAAATTTACGTTTCAAAGGTTTCTGAACATTTTGACATACCTTAGAAAAAATGAATGTATGTGTATGTGTGTGTGTGTACGGATACAATTTTTTGTCGACGATTTCGGGAACACGGATCCACCAATATAAATAATTTAAACAACATTCGATTCGTATTGATAAGGAGACGTGCTGATTAGTTTTTGTCAAAGGCAGGTCTAGCCTTTTCAAAGATACGGGGCAAAAAAAGTGCGAAAAACGGTAACACAGTTTTTAAGAGAACGGAGCGTCCGATTTTAATAATTCAAAAAACATTTTATTTGTATTGGCAAGATGAAGAAATGATTAAATTTTTGGGAAGGCAGGTCGAGCAATTATGGACTCTCAATAAAAATAGGTTAAATGCATCCCACTAGTTTTTTTTTAAGGTATTTTTCAATATATAATAGTTACAACATAATGATAGATTGGTACAAAAATCTACTCTTGAATATTATACTTCATCATTACATATTTTAGATCAGTACATTTATATGTAAAAAATATAAAATACAGTGTCTTGGGTACTGTTATTCTAAATCATTTACAGTTTTAAACTAAACGAGTTAAATGTTTAACTGAAATCGATATTATAGAATAAACATGAAATTTATTAGTATTTTACATCTGTACTATCTACATTTCGAATTTTTAAAATTAGTCACTTCTATTATTATCGTCACGAGAATTAGCCATTTATTCACTTATTTAAAATGGCTATCTGATTTCATATAGAAGAGTTTGGTAATTCAAGGAAATTTTCTCACTTGAGATACATTCCCAAAGCCACAAGAAATCAGCTCATAATCTTATAAATTTATGTAATATTCGAGAAATCAACACAAGAATTAGTCATTTATCTCCTTATTTAAAATGGCCATCTGATTTTGTGTACAAGAGCTAAGAAATTCAATGAAATTTTCTCACTTGTCGTGACTTTCTCAAAGACAGAGGAAATTAACTCACAATCTTATAATTTTATGTAATATTCTTAATTACTGATTATAAAAAATATATTTGATAGAGTAAATTTTCGACTAGATTTCCTACTATTATAAAACACGTGTATGTGTATTGTCCCAGAACTTCACAGATCGTATGAAGAATTATTAACATTCTATCAATGTGCTCGCCTTATATAATGTGGATAATAAATATTAATCAAGCTTACTATATAAAATAAACATGGAAGATTGAAATATTATTTAAATATTTTAAGATAGAATCTATTCAATTTTTCATGTTATATGAATAATGTGTAGGTAATACTCAGTCAACATTAAATCAAAATTAAATATTTAACTTTTTCAAAAAAAAAAAAAACAATTACATATGTCAACAAGTTTATTTTCGTTATTAAATATTTTTACAACCAGTTTAGGACATTTTAAAAAATTGATAATAAATATTTTTCGAAATTATGTTGAAAAAACCAAACCAATTATGGTTGTCAATTTGATAGATAAATTATGATAATTATTTTTCTAAGCAAAGGTATATTATTCTAATTAATAAATTTATGATTTAAATTGTCTCATCAAGAATAAATATAGATTTAAAATAATTTAAGATTTTGTTCTTAACCTTCTATAGCAATTTTCCATCAGTAAATTCAAAATTTAACAACATTTATTCATATCAAACGACATAAATCTTTCGGGCTTATCCATAATTGTTACATAACTTGATTTGCAGATTGATCTTGCTAGTTAATTATGATATAGTAATTTGTATGCAAATTTTATTTATTTTATTTTACTATATAATTTATAAATGCCTTCAGTGCAAAAAATCACTAGTTACCAGTATTACTTCTACTTCAAATAAAATTGGCATTTAGTTAGAAAAAAAGCTGGAAATAAAATACATTTATTAGGGTACAGGTAATTACATGTAATTACAAGAAAATACATTATCAAGGTAATTAGTAAGAGTAGGAGTAAAAATAAATTTGTATATTGAAAATTGCTATATAGTTTTCTTATATAAATTGTATATGGAAAGTTAAGATGTAAAAGATTGTGAGCTAATTGATCGGATCAGCAAATATTTATTTAGTATTTTGGCCTCGCTTTACAATATTTCTATATTGGCTCTATTTCTATTTCAGTAGGTATATTATATACATACATTACATTTTTTTTAATAAATACAAGAATTTATGAGTATTAAAATCATGTAATTACATTGATAGGTTTTATAACTTCTTTTGCCACAAATTATCTCTATGTTTCGAACATATGTTGGATTTCCAAATACAGATGATAATTCAATTATTTCTATAGTAATCTATATCCTATGTCAATTTTGTGACAATTGCTATAATCTCGCTACTTGACAAGATTGATGTCTCGAATTTAAAAATATCCATTGGCACGACCTGGTTTACTTCATTTTGCAAAAATAATGTTTGGCTAAAAGATTTAAGAAATTTAAGCATGTCGTCTGAGGATTTATATATAGTTTTCGACGTGTTTTAGTTTTACAATGAAATTTTCTTTAACATACATCATTAGTCCTTGATTTGCTCTATTGTTTATGCTAATTCTAGATAAGCAGCAATTATTCGTGGTCAAGCCTTGACGAGTAAAAACCACAGCTATGAAAAGTTGCTATTTTTACCAAGAATAATTTAAATTTTTAATAAATGTCGACTAGTTATTTTATGTAGTTTTGTCGTTTGAGTGCACTCTTTTAATTATAGTTGTCGAGTAAATGATTTACTTGTTTTTGCACGCGTAAAGATAAAAATAAGGTTTTTACACTCATAAAAATAATTATTCTACCTTTGGGTTTTTAAATGAAATTTTAAATATTTTTAATTGCATGTGAACTGCAATCTTTCTACTATTATATGAAGACATTTTTCACTGATTGTTATGTTGTATTTATTTTAACAGATGTCTTTCAGAAGACAACCCAGTAGTCTTTCCCAGTTGTGATATCTGATTAGAATTTTTACTTAATTATTATTTGCAATGTCCGGAAAAAAAACTATCATCAGTTGCAAATACATTTTGGATCTATATTTCGACGTAGATATGAAAATAACTACCGCTTGATATCAAGAAACGCGGGTTTTGAACCTACAACCTTGTGGTTGCAAGACTTCTGCCACGTGCTGCCCATTTTAACTAATATAGAAATTATTCTAAGAATATATTTAGTGTCTTTCAATCATTTGATTGTCTTTTACATAATATCCATCCACCTGAGATTCGACAATGTGAATTCAGATTCACTTACATCATTATATTCATGCAATGATCAAAGTTCAATTTTATTGATGAATTTAGTTACGCTCACGTCATAACCCAAAGTATTAATTCTAATCTTCAAAACCATTTAAAAAAATTGTTTTTTCTTGTCATCAGTTTTATGGCAATCATTGTTTCAAATAAGTACATGCCGAAATGTAAATTTGATCTTGGGTTGTTGATGAAAAGTGTGATCATTCAATGTCAATGTCATAACTAAAAAAATATAAATAATCAAGTATTAGTCATTGTTAAGATCGAACTCTTAAATATAATTTATTTTTAATGCCATGGAATATAATATTTAAGAAATTATAGTACTAAACCTTTGAGAACCTTTGGTTTTTAAACCTACCTGCTTTGAGAAGTTCAACCAGAAAATATTTCTATTTTGTTTCAACAGTAATCAGCGAATATTTAGATATACTTTGTCAACTTTTAGTTTCAAACTACGAAAGGCAATTTCCAATTGGGGTATATAAAATCTATGATCCCATGTAGAAAATGGATATCATGTTGCCTGTTTACAGAGATC